TCCATCATTAACTACATATTTGTATCTACAAATTATATATAATTTACAAGTTCCAATTCGAAACTATCCCGCCACAAATTATATTTGAGGCATATAAATTTATTTTTGTATGGAATTAGCATCTACAAAAAATATTAAAACATCACTAGAAGTGAAAAAGGGACATAAGATCTAATATTTTTGTAAGCGTAGGCAATTCCGAGTCTTCATATAAAACGGGCTTTGGATTTTTTTGGGATTGAAACACATTTTTACTTTTTCATTATTACCAGATACATGCCCAAAACTTTTAAATATTTACATAAACATCCCAAAATGTTTCCGGTAGGTGTCATGGCGTTTAAGTCAGTTTCCGAAACTTTGAAACGCGTGTGTATAGAAGTTTTCGTGCATCATAGATTGTAAGTATGTAAATACTTTCTCTATTGACAAGAGAACCCGCAATTACTTAAAACAATACTATGGGTATATTTCAGTAGTGTGCAATAATTTGCAAATTGCATGAGAAATACAAATTACAATAAGTTAACTATGTGTAAAAAGGTCGATCTAAAAAACATTAAAAATGATGTTTGAACTCGAAATAAACGACACTGCACTTTTTTACTCCACCAGCTAAATTACCCGGTATCAAGTCAAACAACAAATACTTAATTATACAATTAGTGGGTAATAAGACTTTGATTTCTATGGCCGACAATTGTGATATGATAAATCCAAGGTCTACCAATTGTCATTTATATGCCTTATTTTTCTCATTTTCCTGTCAAGATTTTGATAATTTAATAATGTTATACTAAAACTCGTGCATGTAACTGGTCGTTATTACGGGTCACCTGAACAAGAATATAAATAGTTGATGTACATATGTATATATAATATATATAATTTAATTTAAATTAATAAATAGAAGCAAAGAGCATACATTTTCTTCACACTTTCCATTATGTTTCTCGCACACATTACAACATTGCCACAAATTCATGGAATGCAATAATTATTATAGAAAGTATTTGCCATCGTGAGAGTAAGTATTGAACTAAGAACGTGTTTCGCTAAGCTTATAAGCTGTTAAAAATAACCTATAAAATATTTCAAAGCATATAAGTTCTTTTACAGTGTTTGATATTTTTTTTAAAGATCTTAATTTAAAAAAACATAAGTTGTTCAAGAGTTTTTTTAGATCTTTTCAAAAAAATACACCTACCTCCCCTTCTTTTAAGATCTTATAATGAGTAAAAATAATTTTATCAATTAATTATTCGAACACTGAAAAAATTAATTTTAAATTAAAATAAGACGTAACGGACTCCAATACTTGGTTGCCAAAAAATGAATCTTACATATTAGGTTTTTTTTTTTTTTTTTTTTTTAAGGATGAATCCATTGACCAAAACAAAAATAAAAAGTAATTTGATGATGATCAATCGAGACAGTCAAAAATGCAATACTACAGCATGTAAATTTGAGAATTTCTACGAAGTTCACTCAATTCAATTGATTCAAACACCCCATAAAGAAATGGTAATCATTGCAACAAAAACAAAAGCAAATGCTTGTGTTTATGATATTTCTATTCGAAAAAGTCAAACTTCTGTCTTAATGGTTGTCTTAATCTTCCGTTTCGGCACAACTAGGGAAGGCAATGGCCGATACGGATTTGCTGCGTCGGGGTACGGGTCTTATTTGAATCGATCGAGAACCGACTCGTATAAATATATATACAATTTAAATTTTTGATTTCATTTATCAAACTTTCGATTTTCCACTGTGTCTATTCTTATTTGCCTATTCTTCACCGTTTCATTTTTTTGAATCTTATTTCTTGAAAGTAATATATATCGAGTACCGCTAACCGTCTTGTCTTTTGAAATTTATTTATCGTAGAAATTAAATATAATTAATTATATAATTTTATTATTTACTTTGTATTACTTGTAGATTATTTCTAAATGTTGTATTTTAATTTTGACATTCTTTTGTCTAAATATACAAACAAAATATTATAAAAGTTGCAAATATTACTTTTGTTTTATTTTAATGGGTCTAGCGAGTCAAAACCATTTAATTTGGGTATGAGTTGGGGCGGATCTGAATTTTATATTTTTTTCACAGGTCGAAACTCGAGTTTAGACAAATCCGTTCCAAAACCGACTCGTTGTCGTTCCTAGGTACAACTATTGAAAAACTAATAAATATACATGAAATTGAAGGGAAAAAAACTTAATGGACTAAAATATATTTTTCATTATTGAACCCTCTAATCATTATATATTTCCATTAATTAGAATCGTGAGGCCGAGATTGAGAAAAATGGTAATAAATATATTATCGAAATTCTAAAATAACGTGACACCATAATTTTTTTTTTCTCTAAAGTGATAATTAATTTATATCGGAGGGAGTACAATTATTGATTATCAACACTAGTACTAAATTACATTAATTCATTAACTAGCTCTTCCCTGTTTTTTATGCAAAATTATTAGTCAATTGGATATTATTCAAAAGCAACCCAGTATTAATTAATAAGTACGTATAATGCATTATTTGTGGTTCAACTTGCAATTTTTATTTAATTACCTCTGCAATATTATTATTCGTTGAATTATGCACATAATATGAAGATTTGGATTAGGGTTTTTGAGAGAAGTAAGGGTACAAAGGTAATTTTAATTCTGAAGTCAAATGTTATTTAAAAGATACTCCATCCGTTCCTAAATAGGTGATCGTTGTTGTTCACCTTGACACAAATCTTAAGAATCTCTATAAATATGTCTTGATTTTAAGAAAATATATATTTACAGACCAAAACACCCTTGTTTACTAATTAATGCAGAAAGAATATTGAAGAGTTAATAAGGTATAATTCAAAAATATATAATATGCAGTATTAGAATTGTAAAATAACAGATAATATGGAACAAAAGAAATTCTTTAATGAAGTAAATAGTAAATACATGAAACCATGGTTTATACATTGTATTCAACTTTGTATTCGAGAATTATTAATGCCAATTGAAAGTTGGTGAAATTTTGTCAAGGCATGTTGGCTGATTGATAAATAATATATATTTATTTACAATTATCGCACGTTCTATTTAGTTGATTTAAAGAAACATTGAATTCATCTGTGAAGCCAGAATTTTAAGTTTGCGGGAGACGAATGAATTAATTTCTTTTTTATAAGGGAGCCAATAATGCTAATTATACATGATTGTTTTTAAAATCGTTACTTAACAAGTAGGAATTCGAGAATTGTTGCGCGGGCCATGACCCCTTCTGGCCATATGCTGACTCCGTCACAACCATTAATTAAACAAGTAGCAAGATTTTGTCAATTTATTTGAATGAAGAAAGATAAATTAAAATGCATGGAATACTGACACTTTTTTGGAAGCATAGTAAATATTGTCATGGGCAAACTCAAGATGCCCATCATCAATTCATGAACATTATTGTATTTATTATAATTACTGTTATTTATTTTATGGTTGAACATTTCCTCTCATTTTTTTTTGGCTAAGGAAATTAAATATTACATTTCTATGCTTTCATCAAGGGCGGATATGAGTGGAAATTGAAACGAAATTTGTGATTTCTGTCGATTCTGATCCAAGATTTTTCGATATTGGAACAATATTTTTTAAAATAAATTCTGATTTTTTTTGGAACAGAATCGGAACTAGTTTTTTCCTTGCGAACGAAACCATAATTTTTCCGAAATAACTAATTTCGATACGATCCGGTCCAGAGTTACACATGTAGAGGCGGACCATGTCGAATTGTTTATTTGTATTAAATTGTTAATGGGAGCAAAAAAATTAGAGATTTTGATGCGGCAGCGCCCTGAATTTTTTATTTTATTTTATTTATTTTTTTATTTTTTATAGATATTCAACAATAATAGGCAAAATAAGTAAATATTGATAGACTTACATTAAAATATTATAATCTTTTTATTATATTATTTTTCGTTACGTGATACATTAAAAGTTAAAACAACAAATACTATAATATTTTTCAAACCGCCAAATATAAATTAGATCTGATTTCATACGAAGAAGTGCAATAATTCTTCTACCAACTCCCAAAAAGAAAAGAAAAAATAAACAAGGGACCAACAGAAAATTATATATGGGAAAATTAGATGCTACATTTGATGAATTTGAACCGTAAATCTACACATAATCTCACACGCACAATTCATATGTATGTGTGCTTAATGGATAGTTATTTAATTAAATCTACGATTCGAATCCAACTGGTGTAAATAATTAGGTGTATCATCTAATTTCCCACGTATATTTAAAAAAATAATTAAGTTAAGCGAAACAAAAACTTTACTTATTAATTTATTTAGCCATTGATTTTTTTATTAACTAATAATTAGAAGCAGGGTTAGCTGTTTGTGCACTTCACCTTTTCTTTTCTTTTCTTTTCTTTTTTCTTTTAATTTTTTTTTTGGAAAACTAGGTAGCGTTGAATTTAACCGCCCATCTTGAATCTTGTCTTTAGTGGCGGGGCACTTCAAACACACACACACACACACACACACACACACACACACACACACACACACTTGTCTTCATCACCATTTTGGCTGCGTTGACATATTATATCTATATCCTATATCTATATATATAATATATATATAGTTAAATTACAGTTACTCCCAGAGTTTATAGTTAAATTACGAAAAAACCTTCTTGTTTGGATAATTACAACCATACACCCCGTTCTTTTAAATAAAATTTATGTAATTCGGTTATTGTCGAACCAAATCGTATATTCAGTTTGGTAAACGGTATGAAATGTTGGCGTACCGAAATTTCGATTCGATTTTACCGATTTAACATCCCTAAATTTACTTATGAAGGAAGTTTTTCGTAAGATAATACATAGTTGAGGGGTGTGACTGTAAGTACCCAAACTGAAGGGAGATTTTTGTAATTTAACCATAATTCAGGGGACGGCGTAATTTACCCAATATATATAGATACAGCCTCATTCTTTAATATTATCAAGAGTATCTATCTATATAGGGTATGGGGGCGACTATATATGTAACACTGCAACCTCCCTTACCTTGTTCATAGATTTCCCAGTTGAATTTTTCTCCACTTTTTATCTTCTCCTTTATCCATAATTAATATTCCTAGCTCCAACTATATATATATATATATATATATATATACATACACACACACATATATATACAACTTCATATATCCGATCCATACCTTAAATTTTGGTTAATTTAATTTCAGGGTGATGATCATGAGCAATAACATGTTGAATCCAACGAATACGAGGGCCATGTTCGATTTAGCTTACGATCGAGGTTAAATTCTTTCCATCTTTTGTAGCTAAAATAACCTAGCTATATATCAAGGTTTTTTTTTTCTTTTTTAATTTTATGTTATAGTAGACATAGATATATATATATATATTATATATACATATATGGAAGTTGAGTACAAGAAAGACAAAAAAAGTTGTTCAATATTCAAGAACATGTTCTTCGCTAAGAGCATGACGTCATCGAAGAAGGTGGCCCCCACGGGGTGCTTCACGGTCTACGTGGGCCCGGAGAAGCGGAGGTTCGCGATCAAGACCGAGTTCGCCAACCACCCTTTGTTCAAGATGCTGCTCGAGGATGCCGAATTGGAGTACGGATTCGCGAACGAGGGCCCGTTGATGCTCCCTTGTGGGGTGGATCTCTTCTGCAGAGTGCTGGCTGAAATGGATGGTGGTGATCATCTTAAGAAATATCGATATTTTAATGATGATGGTGATGATGATTGTGACGTTGGGTATGGGTATGGTGGGTCGTCGTGCAGTCCGTTTAATAATCCGGCGAGGCGTTTGGGGAGAAGCAGATCGGCGGCGGCAAAGGGCTGCCGCTCTTATGGACTTCTCACTCCGACCAGGTTGCTCAAAATTAATCACTTTTAATTAGGGCCCAATTATATATTATATATATGTATGTATGTATGTGCAAAAAAAATGATATATAAAAAATATATATCGTTGTTCCTATTATCTTAGATTTATATGTATGTTATAAAGCAGCAGTTTTAGTTTGTAGATTATTGAGATTATTGCATCCTTTCATCATTACAATGTGATGTTTTAGTTTCCATGTTATATATATAAAGCAAAAAAATGTATAAAAAATCAATTGAAAATATATATAACTAGTACATATATATGGAAAGCAAGTTGACATAGGGATGACAATAGGGTTGGTACGGCGGGCTTTGCAATCCTCGTTCCTGCACCGTTTCAAAATCTCCATTCTCATCCCCATAAAATTCCTCGTCGGGTATTCTTATTTTCGTCCCCGTGAACATTATATGGGTACAAGCACCCGCTAATTAACGTCTCTTGGAAAAATGTGCTAAATAACAATAAAACATAAATTGAATTTCATGAAATAATAATAAATGAAAAATCAATCTAAAATAATAGTACATCAAATATATATATATTAGATGAAATGAAATATAATGAAGGGGCGGGTACCGCAAACGGCAAAACCCATTCCAGCCCCCGCGTACTCGGTTTAAAAAAAATCAGTAATTCACATACCCGTCCTATATTTTTTAAGAACGAGGAATATCATATTTCTGAACGGGACGGGTACCCATCGGGGGAGGTCAATTGCCATCACTAAGTTGACATTTGAAGTTTGACAATTGATGTAATCCGTATTTAGCTCAATTAATTATAGGAGGGTTGAACTTGAACGAGTTTTCATTTATATCATTACAACATGTAATTATTTTACCTTTTCCCTATTTATTTATGACATTTGAATTTGCAACGAGGCAAAGATACCTACCAGGGGAGGAGCATGGCATCCCCCAATTTCCATTTTTCTTTTGTATTTTGCAGTCTAATGTTTTTTTATTGCAACTCATATTTTATTCACTATTATAATGATCTCAATATATATAGGTTGTGTGTGTATAACGACTATCGAAAAATGACCGAAATTCAACAAGTATCTGCGAAAATTGAAAAAAAAAATATTGAATTATATCATCGATCTTCCCACATCAACCTGTCCAAAAATGGACACAAATCGACATGTTGGTGTCGAGAAGTTGGGGAAAATTGTAAGTGTTGAAGTTGGTCGTCGTTCAACACTTAAGTATCGAAATTATGAGAATCATTTGTTGATTATCCACGGCTTTAACTTACGTAGCTAATTAATTGTTAGATCCGTTCAAGGAGAAGCTTGTAACGACATGTACAAGTAAGTGTAGTCATCCTGGAACTTACACTTTGATATGGTGGAGGGGTGCACACACACGGATGAAAAATGACCTGAGTGATTCAACTGGCAGCTCGTCGATTTGTATATGAATATCCACAACAAAATTCTCGAACAACAAATTCCATCAAATAATTGTTTGAAGTAAAAGAAAATACGTACCATCACATTTTCAAGTTGTTGATATATAATAAACTTTGCGAAAATATCTCTAAGTACGCTCTTAAACATAAAACATTACGTACCAACACATTATTAAAGTTATATTATTTAAAAGGAAAAATACATCTTTCATCCCTCAAGTTTGCACAGATTTCGCATTTGGTCCTTCATGTTTTAATAATTTAACACTTCTCGTCATTTCCGTCAGTTAATATAGTGATGAGCAAACACTTAATTCTGTTAGTTTTAACGAAAAATTGATGAAAATAACTAAAACTATCGAATTTTTGAAACATAAGTGACCAAATATATTTTTGATTAAATATGAAATGGGTATAAATTTAAGGGATGCAAATTGTTTTGTTCTCATTGTTTTAACATGAATATATTGTCGAAAAGTAACTAAGGGATGAAATTGAAATCAATTGAAATACAGGGACTAATTCTCAGTTTTGTGGACAAAAAAATTCACTTTTATTGTTATTTCTTTTTTGAAGTGTAATAAAACAAAAAAATAAAAAATAGGCACACACCATTTTGCTGGGTGCATTCAGTTGGGATTCCCTATTCCAATATATTCTGTCCTTTGTTTATTGTTGACTTGGTCTGCGCCACGTGTAATTCAAACTTTACTACAAAATAATTAAAAGGGTAAATAGCACTTAAACCCCTTGTGGTTTGAACATTTTGCACATGACCCCCTTATGGTATGAATTTAGGCACATAACCCCCTTGTGGTTTTGACATTTTGCACATGGCCCCTTTATGGTACGAAATTAGGCACATAACCCCCTTGTGGTTTTGAAATTTTGCACATGACCCCCTTATGGTATGAAATTAGCACATAACCCCCTTGAATAAAAAAATGGAAAAGACTAAATTACCCCTATCAAGTCAAAAGTTCTTGTTTTTATTTAAATATAATTATTCTATAAAATGAAAAGCTTTATGTATTTGTAAAATGAGAAATATAATATATTATTGTGTTTTTTCTATTTTACCGCACATATATATTTTTTTAAATTTAATTTCATTTCAACTTTAGAGAAATGTTTTTTTAGATTTTTTCAAAACAATAAAAAAAAATTTGTTTCTTAAAAAAATTAAAGTTCGATAACAACTATAATATAATATAATATATTATATAGAAAATAGTAATATAATAATCATAATTAATGATAATGTTAAATATTTTTAAATTGATTTATAAAATTGAATAAGTTGTCCATCGTGCAATAACTAGTATTATATACCTTTTGTGCTGTAAAATTAAAAAAAACACAATAATATATTATATTTCTCATTTTACAACAAAGTACATTAAGCTTTTCATTTTATAAAATAATTATTTTTAAATTAAAACAAGATTTTTTGACATGATAAGGGTAATTTAGTCTTTTCCAATTTTCTATTCAAGGGGGTTATGTGCTAATTTCATATCATAAGGGGGTCATGTGCAAAATTTCAAAACCACAAGGGGGTTATGTGCCTAATTTCATACCATAAGGGGGCTATGTGCAAAATGTCAAAACCACAAGGGGGTTATGTGCCTAAATTCATACCATAAGGGGGTCATGTGCAAAATGTCCAAACCACAAGGGGGTTAAGTGCAATTTACCCTAATTAAAAACTAATCTTGTAAATAATAAAATATACCATAATTTTACTATGCACCTCAATCGCATACTTTTCATCAAAATAGAGTAAACAAAACAATAGCACAAATAATACATTGTTACACCAATACAAACAACAATACCTTAGACAAACAAAAACATCTTAGAAAAAAAAAAAGACAATTACAAAATTAAAGCCTCATAATTAATTTAATTTGCCCCTTAATTATATCTCCATAAGTTGTTCAAATTTCTCCATAGCTGGTGCAGGCAATCCAAGAAGCACATTAATACTTTTCTTCTCCCTACCATGAGAGAGAAACAATATCACCTCCTTCTCCGGCAACGCCACGGGCCCCGACAAAACGGGCGGGCCCCACCCGAAATCCGTGGTGCCGAACGAGAGCCTCGACCACGTCGTGATCAAAAGGGTCGAAGCCAAAGAAGGCCTAGCCCGAGTCGCCTCGAAATAATCGATCGCCGATCTCATGTAACCATCCGTCACTAATCTCACCGCCTCCTGGACCAGCCCGACGCTGAACGAGGGCCCGTTTTCAATGAGTGGGCCCGCCTTGGACAGTGCGTTGGTCAGGACAATGGCGTTTCCGAAATAATTATTCGGGATCGGCGGATCGAATCTCGACCGTCCGTCGACCGCGAATAGGAGCTTCGTTTCTTGATCGGGCTTTAGGTCTAGGGCCTCGGTTCGGGCCCGCCAGACGAAGCCAGAGAGTGCCTCGAACGTCGTGCATTTTTTTAGGGTCCCGTCCGCGAGGGCCGTTTCTCGGAGGTGCTCGAGCTTCTCGGAGTCGAACCGGAAGGATCGGTAGAGCATATTATTCTCCTCCTTGTGCGAGGTGGAGATGTCTTCGATCTCGGCAAATTCGTGGTGGGGGAACTCGATTTTCGGGGGGATTCTTGCCTTGAGGATGGTTCTATCCATGAATGGGGGGCTTTTTAGTAAATTTCCTCTTGCTATTTCCCCCCAACCATTCACAAATTCCATTGCACCAATCCCATCAAACATACAATGGTTCATGCACAACCCTAGTACAAACCCTCCACACTTGAACTTAGTCACCTACAAAATAAAATTTAAATCAAATTAAATTAAATTAAAATTTTACCCTTAAATCAAATATTTTAATTTAGTCATTTTTACTATTTCATCTTTCTTTTTTTTTTTTTTTACTTTTACTTTTTTTTTTTCCTAAACTTTCTTGATTTAGTCATAAAAGTAGGATTTTTTTTTCCAAGAATTCATAAAACCTCAACTAAAAAAAACATTAATAATTAAAAAAAAAAAAAAAAACAAGAAAAAATTCTTACTTGAGCAACCAAAGGAGGGATTTCAAGCACGTGTTTGGCACCAGGGAAATCATAAACAAGTTTACCAAGAGTAACAGGATCAGGTTTTGTAATATCACCGAGTTCACCGAGTTCGCACTCTGCCTCCGCCTCGACAAACACCGCACCTTCCCCCGTGCAATCGACTATCAGTTTCATCTCAGAACTTACGGTCAAGCGCCCCGCTAACGGATAGTAGTAGACGAGAATCTTCGACAGTGCATCCTTAACGACCCCGAAAACGTCGTCGTTTCCCCTGTCTCCCGATTCGAAGCAGTAGATCGTTCGAACGATAACGGCTATATTCTGGTCCAGGTTCGACAGGAAGTAGAGCCCTTTCCGAGTTTCCTCCGCCGCCGGAACCAGGCACGGCGGGCCTCGTTTCACCGTCAGTTCGAATGGAGTGTTGTTGTTTGTGGTTGCCTTCTCCATTTTTTTTTTTTTTTTTTCTGAATTGGAAAAGAAAATGATGATGGTGAAGAAAAAATATTGAATTAAATAGGTGAGAGAAAGAGAGAGGAGTTGATTATTATTATTACCTGTTAAAGGGAGGAGAGTGCAATTAGTGATGTCTGAAAATCAGAGGTGAGTTTAGTGTGTTAATGGCAATGGGGTTTTGGCTGGAATTTATAGAGGGAACGTGGTGTGTGAGAAAATGGATGGTTTTGCTCTGTTTTCTTGGTTACCAAAATATGTAGTATTGAAAGGGACTTTTGTGTAGTATAATAGTGTGTGTACTGGTGCAGATCGGATGGATCGGATCGAAAATTTCAGAGTGAAAATTTGAAATATAAATTATATTTAAATAAATTCAAAGAAAAACCATAAATTAAAGTTTTGGAGATTGGAATGAAAAACTTGTTCTGAAATCGGAAATTTTCAGACCGTAACTGATGGAATTCGGAGATTTTGAATTTTTAGTTAGTCACTCACCTACAATATAAAATATATAATAATATTGGTGTTATAAGTGTAATATTCGGAATAAGAGATTTATGACTTATGAGAGGCTATACCTGGTGAAAAGCACTAGGTGATTTTGCACCGCTGATCTATACAATAACTATTCACTAAGCACGCATACATATATGTGTGTAGATCAATGGTGCATGATCACGCTGTATAATTAATTCACTTGGTATAGCATCTACAAAACCGTGGAAAAAAATGGAATTTTTCAAAATTATTTTTGTTAATTAAAATCATATCGTGTATATATTCTAATTCTAATCCAAAAAAACAAAAGAGTTGGATTTCGGAATTTCGGAACGAAAAATATTGTTCTAGAATCGAAAATTTTTAGATCAAAATCAGTGGGAATAAAAAATTTCATTCTAGCTTCCACCCTCAGTACGTGTGTGTTTTTTGATACGCAAAGGGACGTTATAGAGGGATAGTAAGAGAGGAAATTCGAAGGGTCGTTTTCTGCCAATTTATTATTCATTTATTTCTCACAAGGTTTTATTTAGAACATAGAGATTTATTTTGATGTAAAATTCTACGACCGTCTATATATTCTAATTATGATGCAAAAAATCAGAAAAGGTGGAAATCGAATTTTCGGAATTCACAATCAGCAGAAATCGGTAATTTCGTTCCAGTTTCCACCCTCAAGTGTGAGCGTGTTTATTTTTCGATACACAAAAGGGATGTTAATGTAGGATACCAAGACAAGAAATTTGAAGGGTCGTTTTCTGCCAATTTATTTATTTATTTATTTCTCACACGGTTTTATTTAGAACATTATTTTTGAAAGAAATTTATTTAAATGTAAAATTCTGCAAACGTATATATATTCTAAAAAAGATCCAAAAAATCAGAAAAGATGGAAATCGAAATTTCATGATTCATAACAAAAAAACATTGTTCTAAAATTCGAAAAATCTCGAATCATAAGTCAACAATTTTCGTTCCAGTTTCCATCCTCGAGTGTGAGCGTGTCTATTTTTCGATAAGCAAAAGGGATATTAATGAAGTATACCAAGACAAGAAATTCAAAAGGGTCGTTTTCTGCCAATTTATTAATTCATTTAATCCTCACAAAGTTTTATTTAGAAAGAGATTTATTTTGATGTAAATATTCTACCAATCGTCATATGGTTGTGGTAGGCTACTTGCTCCGGGACCAAAAAATATTACCAGTTTGGTGGGGGTTGGCATCCAAATTATACCTATTTGAACAAGTAATATCTCTTAATTTGAATTATAGCCTTTTTTTTTTTTTTTTTGTATCATTTTTTATTTGCAATATTGAATAAAATGACAAAAAGGTGAAGATTATGAGTAAATCCGTTGCCAATGTGTGTTAATCATGTAGATTTGTGGGTGAGTTTATAAATAAACTAATTAAAATAGGTGTTTGGTAGTAAGAAGAAAAATAGTTTTAGTTATGAGTTAATTGCATTTGGTGTCCTTTGTGTGATCTGTAATTGACAAATAGGTCCCTATGAAAAATATTTTAGCAAAAAGGCCCTCATACTATTTTTTTAAGAGCTCACCGCATCCAAATTGGATTTACCCATCGATCGAAGGTAAATGGACAAAAATGCCCTAGAAGGTTTTTTAGCAAGTATATTTGATTGATATTTATAAGGGTAAATCACGGGCATCCCTGAGGTAAGATTAAATTACGAAAAAACTTCTCACGTTTGGGTAATTACAACTAATCCATCAATTCCTTTTACATGTTCGTGTCAAATTCAATATAATTTTCTAGATTTCGTGAAATGTTCTCTAGTTTGTACTCGTTTTTGCAAAAATGCAGTTTATAATCCACCACAATTCGATATTTACAATCCAAAAAACGCATCTTATGATCATCTTGTTTCAAAATATGGAGCTCGAATGGGGTAAAATGGGTACAAACTGAAAATATTCCACCAAATTTGATACCGCAATGATGGACTTGTAAGAAGATTCATAGTTGATGGATGATTGTAATTATCCAAACATGAGATTTTTTTTCCGTAATTTAACCTTGCTTTAGAGGGTGGCCGTAATTTACCCTATTTGTAATGGTAGAGGTTGTTTCCTAAAACAAAATGTTAAATTCCTATATTTTTATTAAATATTTTATTTGTGCAATTTTATATTGTACGTTTATTTTAATTTTACACTAGTAATACACCCGTGCGATGCACGGGGTATTCATCGTAAAACAAAATATTGAATAATAAAAAAGTTTCTCAAAATAGTGATATTAATTGTTAATAAGTAAAAGAAAGAAGTAAAACATATTCAAAAATAAAAATAATTTGTATGGTGTAAGTTCAAAATAAGTTGATATAAGTGAAAAAAACTAAACATCGACTGTTTTGATTTACATATACAAAAGAGCGAATATATAGTTGGTCCCAAACTTGTACAACCATAATGACGTGAACGTTGAAAACTTGAATTGTTTGATACCAACCGCCCTAAGCCCATTCAACAAATCCGATACAATGCAACTGACCTGCATATGTTGTAAAATGGTCACACGAAATATGTAAATTGTTACCAAAACAATACCAATATAACTGTTTAATTGCATAAAATTATTGTAAAAAGATTACATTCATGAAATATAGCGAGCGGAGTCCATAGCAAGTTCCTAGTACAATAAAAATAAACCTACGAATGAGGAATAACAAAACATAAAAATAATAGATAAAAAATGTCGTCAATAAATATTGTAATTTTTTAATACTTACGTTCATATACGCTGAAAAACTTCCTTGTATACAACATTATTTGTAACGTTGGTCGTATCACCAGATTCCGAGTTAATCAAAATCTTTATGCCACTTCGACTCTTAACCCTCGAGAGTGCGACATAGAGCTGTCCGTGACTGAAAACAGGTCTCGGCAAGTACAGGCCCACGTGAGAAAGAGTTTGTCCTTGACTTTTATTGATTGTCATTGCGAATGATACCATTAACGGAAACTGACGTCGCTGGAATTTAATAGGCAATGCAGAGTTGGACGGTACCAAAGTCATTCTAGGAATGAACACCATATCACCAACATGTTTACCGGACAGGATTCTGCAGTTGAGAACGTGTTTTCCCATATTAATAATCTGAAGCCTTGTTCCATTGCACAATCCTCTGGCCTGATCGATATTTCTGATGAGCATAACGGGAACACCTCTTTTCAATGTCAACTTATGCGGTGGAATTCCGGAACATGATATGGTGTTGAGAAACTCCGGTGAGTATATTTCTGCGTTGACATCCGATAACAACTCGTCCTTGCACATACTATCTGAGCTGAAATAGACCTTCTCCTCTCCAGCTATGATCGACAAAAAATGATCGTTCACAAAACCGACACTTTCATTAGTGGGTGCAAGGATTGCTCTGCCTTCGAAATACTCGGGAGTGAAAAGGTTGGTCACCAGATCGGGATAGACAAACTCTATAAGATCCAGAAAGGGATCTGCAGAATTCCGAATCAGCATGTCATCGGGAATTTCAATTGTGGCATCACCGTCATTTATCTCGCCAGCATCGCCATTGCCGATTCTCAATATCCAGTCCGCAAATTCTCGTATTTCATCTGCATTCGCTGAAGAGGAGGACGACTCAAGTCTCATGTTCTTGTTTAACTTCATAACCTTGCATTGCCTCCACAACGGTGACGAATTGATTGTAGCATGCACAATGTCTTGTCTCGACGCTTTCAACACAACTGGCAGAATTTGCCGAAAGTCCCCTCCAAGCACTACAACCTTGCCTCCGAATGGCATATCTGAATCAAGTATAGATTTCATTGTTTTGTCGAGTGCTTCGAAACAGTACCTGTGCATCATCGGTGCCTCGTCCCATATGATTAGCTTTGCTCTAGACAACAATTCTGCCTGTGGGCTCTGTTGTTTGATGCTGCATGTGGAGCTCTCATGTACAATTATTGGCAGTCCAAATCTAGAATGAGCAGTTCTGCCACCTGGAAGTAGAAGCGAAGCAATACCACTGGAAGCAACATTTATAACTATTTCTCCTTTTGAACGGATAGCAGCCGATAAAGTTTTCCATATGAAAGTCTTTCCCGTTCCTCCATGCCCATAAAGAAAGAACAGTCCACCTCTGTCATTTGTAACAGCATCCATGATATCATCGAACACTTTTTTCTGCTCATCAGTAATGGATGAAAGGTATTTTTTAAGTTCTTCACGCATAGCATCAACGTCATAGTCCAACTCGTCGAGAACTAATCTATTTACCGTGTCGTCCGACATCGACCCAATTGGAATCGGCATTGGGGGAAAGTTACTCAGGCTTTTGCTGTTACTTTGCAATATATTTTCTATTTCGATCAAACCGCAGTTTCTCAGAGTATCGTCTGACACAGGTGGACCTTCAATATAATATAATATGATAAAATAACATAATGTGGCGATTATAAAAATATATAGTTTTAATTCAATTTTATATTGTACGTTTATTTTAATTTTACATGTGTTGTGTATGTAGAAAAAATACAAAGTATATAAATGATATAATTAATAAAATATGTTGTAAAATAAGAAAATTCCCAAACAAGGGTAATTTTTTTTTTTTCCTTTTAAAATTCAAACCACGTTATACGGAATGAAAATAGGAGAGGGACATGATTTGAACCCTAAACCGATTCGTTCGATTTCTCACCGGTAAATTTTTTAAGTCGATCTCTATCACATGTTTTGCACAATGCAATAAGTGGTTGTGAATCCTTAATTAGTTTTTGTTAAGCCTCTTTTACAGTTAAGAGAACATATCATATGTACAGTAGCTATGTTATTAATATTGTAGTTCTTCCGATGCTAACGTTAGGCCTAATGGCATCTCCAACCCGGGGGCCCTCCCCTCCCCCTTCCCCTACATAGTCACTGAATAGGTTTAATAAAAACTAGCATTTTTTTCCCGTGCGATGCACGGGATATTATTTCAAGAGTAAAAAAAAATTACTTTAATACATAATAAGAAAATATAGTACACACATATAATGTAGTATTATTCATATTTTATATAACATTAGTTTGTTTAAATTTTACATATTAAGATTTAGGGTTAATAAGATATAACCCCCTCGTTAGAAAAAAATATTAGGACTAACCACCTTACAATAATTTTAATGGGTCAAACCCCCTCAGAAATATCAACTACTGAACTACCCCTATAATTTGTAATAGCAAAGACCCCCCCACCGTTTTCCCCAAATACTGCATATCTTCAACCATCTTCTTCAATATAATTTCTCCCCCATTTCCGTTGGTCTGTTATATTTATGCCGAGAAATTCTCCCAAAAAACAAACTGCAATATATATCGGATATTTTCCCCTTTCAAACATTGCCCTAGTTTGTTACATCTTCATCGTAAAATAAAAACCAGAATACCATTATATTCAGCAACACAGGTTGACAAACAATGGTGAAGAACGGCAAGAAGAAGACAGGTAGTTTGCTATATACCCATCTCTACCACATAATTTCTGTTTTTGACACCTTCTTCAGCGACTCCGAAGGACAAAATCGAGGTCTCCTACAGAAACGGTATACAGCGGTACGCGACGACCATATGTGACGGTTCGGATGTCTTCCATGGTTGATTACTCAAAAATGGAGTTTGTAAACACGATTGTTTTTTAGATCTACAGATCTATGGTCGCACTATTTGTTGACTCATAAATATTTGTTTTCCTATGAAATTTGTTTTATCAGAGTCCAAAACAAAGAAAAGATCAGTGCTGTCGAAAACATAAAATATTGTAGTCATCTACACTCAGAGTCAACTATAAAAATCGGTAGTTCACTATATTTTTCCCGAAGTCAACTATAAAAATTAGATTGTCAACTATAATTTTTATGATGTCAACTATAAAAAAAATGGTAGTTAACTATATTTTTGTCAGAGTCAACTACAAAAATTAGATAGTCAACTATAATTGTTCAAATGTCAACTATAAAAAAATTGATAGTCAACTATAATTTTTCCATTAATTTACCGTATTATTTTTCAATTTAAGATACTATGATGTTATAAAATTGAATACTCATGATAAAGATCCCATCTTCATGAAAACATATATTTCATAGAGTATAAAATAAATTGATTTCAAGGACCAAAAAATGAGATATAGAAGAAAAGGTACAGTAGTGAGAAGAAATAGTGGGAAAAAAATGAAATAGAAACAGACGAGAAAAGAGGAATTGAGGGAAGAGAAAGAAGAGAGAGAGAAGAGAGAGGGAGAAAAAGAAAAAAGAAAAAGATATGGGAAAAGAGAAAATTGGGGAGAAGAGAGAAGAGACAGAAGATAAGAGAGAGGAGAGAGAAAAATAAGAAGAAAGAGAGAGGGAGAAAAAAGAAGAAAATAAAAAGATACGGGAACAGAGGAAATTGGGGAGGAGAGAGAAGATAGAGAAGGGAAGGAAGAGAGAGAAGATAGGAGAGATGAGAGAGAAAAATAAGAAGAATAAAAGAACACGTTAAAAAATTGAGGAAAATAAGGAAGAGAGAGAAATTAATGGAACATATAAAATGAAAGATATGAGAGAAATAAGAAGAAGAGAGAGAAAGTTGGAGAAAAATATGGACAAAAAAGGACATAATTGGCATTAACATAAGCTTAGGGGGTCACACAATTCAGAAAATATTAAATGAAATTGTCTACAAATGGTCAATTATAAATTGGGCCTGTACTATATTATTTTACCTAATGAGGGGGTTATCCCTCATTTTCCCTAAGATTTATAATCCTAATATATAGATTTAGATTTAACAAATCGAATTTATATCTTTATCTCTTAAGATTTGAAATATATTGATGAAAAATAAGAGATTGATATTTGTTGAAAATTAATTATGAAAAAATATTAAAAATAAATAATTAAAGAAATATCATTAGGGTTTTTTAGAGTTACCCAACGTTTATATATTAAATAAAAAGCGTTAATAATAATAATATAATATTGATACATTTTTAAAGGGCCCATTAATTATTTTACTATTGGGTTTGAAGCTAAGGTCCAAAAGAACGAGGCCATTGGATTAAGGGCTCAAGCTTATTATATTAATTAAATACCTAATTAGAGTTATATTTTAAGATGAATTAGAATTATACTTTAATTAGAATTCTACAACTAATTAATATAAATAAGACCTCAGCATCATTGTAAAATGTACGTTCTAACAAATCTCTTAAGTTCTATTGATCTGGTACACTCTACCATATTCTCTATCATTGATTCGTGTGTGGTTGGATCATCTGCTTGCATGCAAGAAACCAACAATTACAGTTTTTTAAACCAAAGGTTTTTTGGTTTCTTTTTTAAATTACATTTAAAAAAATTAGATAAAAATAAATTTCAGCTCTTTTTTATTCATAATATATATAATTTATAATAATAATAATAAATGATAAACATTAAATTAAATAAAAATAGAATGAACTAAGCTCGAGTTCGAGCTCTCAAAATGAATATTCGATATCCTCGAGCTCGTGAAATTGTACTCGAGCTCGAAGAATAAAAATATTACTCCCCTATATTGATTAACTTGACCAGAAATTCTTTAAAGGGTAAAATACATTTTACCCCCTTGTACTATACCATATATTACACTTACCCCTTATACTATAAAAAATACACATATTCCCTCAATTTAATGGTCAACCTATTTGCCTCTTAACGGTGTTAGTAGTAAAATAAATTCAATATATTTTTAATAATCCTTACTAAATGACACATTTTCTTTATTTAAAAAATATTACTTGTGCTATGAATAAATTGAATTAATATTTAAGATATATTTTTTTTTGGATAAAAATAACTTACTTGTTAAATGTTTAAATCAAAAATTATTATTTAGATATTATAAATTTTCATATATTGAGGAATGTCGACAGCTAGCTTTATTTTTTCGCTCGATTCCCGTTAATTTTATAAAACGCTCGGGCAATAGGTTGGCTCATGAGTTAGCGAATGCCTCTTCTTTAGCTTGTAATAATCCAATGGAAGGTGTTCACCTCCCATCGAACTTGGCTGAGTTTGCCTAAGGATATTTCTTTTTCCATAAGGAAAAAAAAAAAACATGTACATTGAAAATTAAGATTTATTTGTAAGATCAAATTTCGTACAATTAATCCTATACATAAAAGGTACGTTAAATGAAATTTGATGTTACAAATAAATACAATAAAATATTAGCATATATCGTCAAAAAAATATTAGCGTAGAATTAAAAGATTAATAAAAATATTTTAATTCGTCGGTACTACTAACACTGTTAGTAATAAAATAGATTGATCGTTAAGTCGAAGGGGTAATTTTATTTTTAAACTATTAGGTAGTAAATATCACCTAGGGTATAGTACATGGGTAAAGTGTATTTTATCCTTCTTTAAACAAACAAATTATTATTTACCTAGACGACTTTTATTTTGCAACTTACAATTTGTACAAAAAAAAACTTGGGTAACAATTTGTGCTACAAAAAACAATCGGCGAATATTCGATTCACCCCCTCGACCACCTCCTCCACCAAATAGTAAGGGTAAAATCGGTATTTTCACATCTGAAATTAAGTTCAACCCCAAAAACGATTACCAGTGACCCGAGTTCAATTTTTCCGGCCGGCCGCCTCCGCCATGGATAGAACCTCTCCCGAATCGGAGCTCTACACCATCCCCAGCCACTCCAGTAAGTTCGAATTTCTTCAATTTCCGATTTACGCACGTCTCTGCATTTGTTATTATTTTGCCCTAATCCCCAATTTTTCCCCCTTTTTTTTTTCTCTCTCGAGAAAAGGTTGGTTTTCCTGGAACAGCATCCACGAACTGGAGAAATTCACCCTGGGTGAGTTTTTCGACGGAAGCTCAGTCACCAGGTCACCCAGAATCTACAAAGAGTACAGGGATTTCATAATCACCAAGTACAGGGAGGAACCGTCCAGAAAACTGACCTTCACCGACGTCCGTAAGTCACTGGTGGGTGACATTAGCGTACTCCTCAAAGTATTCACCTTCTTGGATAAATGGGGTCTCATCAATTTCAACGTCACCGACAACAATCGGAGAAGTGTCGGAACGTCGTCGTTTGGTGGTGATGAGGAGGAGGAGGGGGAAGAAGATCTTTGGAAGGGTAGGGTGAAGGTTGAAGAAGGGGCCCCACATGGGGTGAGGGTGGTGGCCGCCCCCAACTCGATGAAACCGTTGATCGCCCCTCCACCGCCGCCCTCCGTGGCGGTGGATGGCGGTGGGGCTGTCGGGGAAGTAGGGGAAAGTGGGTTCAAGTATCCGCCTTTGGCTTCGTATTCTGATGTTTATGGGGAGTTGATGCATGCGGAGAAGAAAACCGGCTTCTCGTGTGGGAGTTGTAAGGAGAATTGTGATTCGACTTGCTATGAATACACGAAGGTACTTGAATATACGTTTTCGTCTTTTCCCCGTTATGGTTTGATTTAAATGCATTTGATTGTCGACGGGAAAAAACAAGTTCTGCGGGTGTTCTTGATTCTTTAATTTGATTATTTATATTTACGAATTAAAGGATGAATAGATGACTGTAGTCGAGCATTTTCGGAACCTTTTCAATTGTATATTTAGATAAACGCTCGTGAAATTTTCTGAATTAGTTGCGTCGTTATTCCTTAACCGGACTTGTTAGTTGTTCGTATTTTTTGAATATAAGCTTTTTAGATTCTAAAATCAACCGAGTCTTTCATCGGTGTTGTTAACACTTAACAGCAAATACGTAGCAATCGACATTTTTTAATTTTATTCTTCAATTATCACCAGAAAGTCGGGGGTTTATTTGATTCGTCTTTCTATGTACCAGGAAGAGAGCTTTACTCTCTGTGAGAAGTGCTTCAAAAGTGGGAATTACGAAAACGACAAATTTGCGTCGGACGATTTCAAGTTAAAAGATTGTGTGAATCAGACCGAAGCTGTCTGGACCGAAGCGGAAACTTTGCTTCTTCTAGAATCTGTGTTGAAGCACGGAGACGACTGGGATCTTGTTGCTACGAACGTTCAGACGAAAAGTAAACAGGAATGTATATCGAAGCTTATACAGCTGCCTTTCGGCGATCATATGTTGGGAGTTGGCCATAAGAGGAGTCGATATTTGGATTTAATTTCTGATATTAGTAGTAATTCTAAACAAGCGGAATTAGCTTCCGATGAATCAAAACCGTTGGATGGAGATGCTGAGAATGAAGGTCCACCGTTGAAACGAGTGTGCAGTACTGAACCCACATCAGATATTGGAAGTTCTTTAATGAAACAGGTCTTCGTTTTTAGCCTCTCTGGTTCACTTTCTTGATTTTTTTTTAATATAAAGTCTTATCGATTATTTGATTTTAGCGTTTGGGTTGTGGTAATTTGAAGCTCGACAAAAACGGGAAAGCTTTGAACTTTGCAGGATGTTCGTGGATGAATTTCATCTATCGAAATTGTTAAAAAAATTATGTAATTCTTGATCTATAATAACTTCACTGAATTTTGAATTTTGACACCTGTCCTACCAGGTAGCGCCCATTTCTACGATGCTGGGCCCACATGTCACAGCTTCAGCAGCTGATGCTGCTGTTACTTCCCTTTGCTACGAGAACCAGTGTTCGAGAGAAATATTCGACGACGACAAGGGAAATTTTGTCAATAACTCAAAAGCATCTCCTGGAATCAGTAACCAAACGAGGTATTCATCTAAGTCACATTCGAACATTACTCCTTGAGTTAATATTTGTAATTAAATTCTAATACTTAGACCCAACTCATCAGAGAAGCCGATGCTGACATTGCATTAGAAGACGAAAGTCCCGATCGATCAGGTTACAAAGAGTTAATATTTTATTTTATTAATGATCCAAAACAGTATTTTTATTTAATGTATATTTGGTTAAAATTTGTCCACAGATATTGAGGGAATATCATCTGTGAAGAGTGTAATACCGATGAATTTGAGAACGAGGGCTGCAACTGCAACAGCACTTGGTGCTGCTGCTGCAAATGCTAAACTTCTGGCTGATCAAGAGGAGAGAGAAATCGGACATCTTGTGGCAACTATGATTGAAGCCCAGGTTATTTTTCCTATTATTTTTTTATAATCCACTTGTAATTTTTAACATTTTGTGATTCTAAACTAGGGGTGGAAATTGGACGTATCATATCAGAATTAGTACTTTTGAAAAAATTTCAGAAGTGAAAAACTAATTCCAATTCCATTAAAAATCGGAAATTGGAAAGAAAAAAGTTGTTCTAAAATCATTTTTTTGGGTCGGAATTCGAAAAAAGTTAGATTTTTTTAGTCACCGAAAATATAAAATGCATACTAGTATTGATAATATAACTGTAAAGTGTAATTTTTGGGAAAAAATCGGAAATTTCTGAATTATTTTTTTGGAAATTAAAAGCAGATGGATAATTGGAATCTCATCTCTGTTGTCGTTCCAATTCCAATCCAAAAAAAATTGGAAAAAATCGGAACCGGAATATTCGGATGCAGAACGAAAAAAAATTGTATAGATGATCTTTTTTTTTTCTTTGATCCCCTTGTAAATTTATCTTTTCTTGATTCTAAACATATGCTCGATGGAGGAAAATGAAAACACTTTGACATAAAATTTTAATTCGTGAAAAGCTGATTTACGCGTTGGTTATTTTGATATACAGGTCAAGAAACTGCAACGAAAGATGAAGTGCTTCGAAGATCTGGAGACAATTATGGAAAAGGAAAACAGCCAGCTGGAGAAACTGGAAGAAACCCTAATAGCCGAGCGAATAGATGTGTTGCAGAAGCTATTTTCTGCCGGTATATCAAGATCGAAGGAGCTTAACTCGATCAAGTACCAAACGGATACTGTGCAGTGATACAATACGAACTAATTTCAATTTCGGAAAAAAAAATGTAGAATTAATTATGCGTGTTAAAAATATGTATTACGGAAAACAGATATTTATTTCGAAATGGGGCAGCTTCGAAGATGAACGTAAGGAGAAAAAGGATGAGTTGATCCAACGGTTGAGATCTGATCTGATCTCAACCCAAGCAGATGCACAGGTGGCGCTGAGATACTTGTCCTGCAAGGCTTTTTTGCATGCAGGCAGTGTGCATGGATTTAGGTTGATACCAATTGCAGATTCCACATCTAGTGCTGTAACCAATATTATAAAACATTTCTTCACTTGCATTTTTTGGAATTTGTGTTTTCTATTCTTGAAGAAAATGTGCACTTTAAAGATGGTTGGTGTGCGAGTCCATGAATTGGTACATGGTGGACTTAAATTTTGGGGGGTTTGGGGGCAGCACCCCAAAAAAAATTAAGAAGAAACAAAAAAAAAATAAAGAAAAAAACAAATTTTAGAGGTTTTTTGCATTAATTTTGATTTTGGGTGGGGGCTAATTAATAAAATTTGAGACTTTTTTTGCATTATTTTGAATTTTGAGTGGACTAATTAATAAAAAAATGGCACTTCTTTTGCATTAATTGAAATTATGGGTGGGCTAAATAGATATATAATATAATATAGGAGATAAAATGGTAAATTGAGGGTGAGCTTGAGTTGAGTCTATCCTTGCCTAAGGGTGGACTCGCCCTGGGTTTGTGTTGTGTGTAAGAGAGAGAGAGAGAGATATTAAACCAGCTAGATAACTAATAGCCAAATGGATGTCACATGCGCTGCACGTGACAACTCCATCCAACTTAACCATAAAACTTGACGGTCGAACCAAAATCGTGCAAAAATGGTGAGTTTAGGGACTAATTTCATAAGTGTGACATTTTTTGGACCAAAATCATCGTACTGCTAAAGTATACGGACGAAAACTGTAATTATACCTAGCTTTAGTTTTGGCCCAACATAATTTTGGCCTAGCAGTTTCAATCTAGCCCAAATGTTTTCCGCTTTCCCTTTTAAAATGCAGAAGAAAAGAAAAAATGGAGGGAAAATCAACCCAGGAATATGTCTAGAAGGCGCCTCCGTATAGTCTGCTCTTCCGACGAAGAAGCAACGCCGCCGCCGCCGCCACCGCCACCACCACCGCTACAACAACTAGAGGAAGAGATAGACGACGACATACTCGACGACATCGAAATCGATTTCCAAACAGTGAACATCAATTCCTCAAACCCTACCCCCAACAGCAACATATCGACCGCCACAACCAACACTAGCAGAACCGGGAGCCGAGTCGACGAACCGATTCCACTCGACATCTCCGACGAAGACGAGGAGAATATCACCACCGGTGACACCACCAACGGCCCCAATTTCCACAATTCGAGCGGTGATAATGGTTATTTCGAGGCATCGGAATCTCCGGTGAATGGCGTTCTGGAGAGCCTAGGGCTGAGATTGAAGAGGGAATGGTTGGATTCCTGCTTGCGTGGGCTCCAGTCATCGGTGTCGGGGTTTCAGGGGATGGACGCTTCGGCAAAGGCGAGGCTTTGCTTCGAGCAGTTTTTGTGCTCGGATATGAATTATTGTGGGGCCGGAGTGCTTCCTCCGAACGTGCAGGCCTTGAATTTGGTTGACCTCAAGGGGCCTTTCGTTTTGCAGGTAAAAGAAAAAAGAAGCTGCAATTTGTAGTACTTTTCTGTATGGTTGAAATGCTGCAAAGTTTGTTCGACATTCGGGAAATTAATTGTTATAGTTACTTTCGTGCAATTTACAATGCTTAAAGTAGGGGATAAAGATCCGACCTTTGTTAGGTTTCCAAATAAAAGCAATTACGCCTTATATGAGATATATTATTGTAATTCTCTGATGACATGATTTACTTGAATTGTACTGTAACCTTTGCATTTTTCGTACATTTGACTGAAAGTGTGCGTATAGATGTTACAATAGCTCTGTGCTATGTAAGTGCTGGGCCCTGAATTTCTAAAACGAGATATATTTAGAGTTGATTTGCATTTCTGATGAGGATTGTGTAGGTGGACGAGATTGTGAATATCAGCTGCCCTCTTCGTGGAAGGTACCAGAATCTTCCACCCGGAAACAAGAGGTGTCTCAAGTTGTCGATGACAGATGGCGTCCAGCGTGTCTACGGCATGGAGTATAGACCTATCAATGGTCTTCAAGTTCTGGCTGCTGCTGGATTCAAGGTCTCGATTCTATTTATGCTTTTTTTTTGTATTTCTGTCTGATTCGTGATTCTTGGTTCTTGATTAGTTAAATACGAGATGGTAGTTGACTAAAGTGGTGGAATATCTGTGCAGGTAGTTGTTTGTAATGTAAATATTAGGCATGGCATGTTAATGTTGGTTCCTGAAGCTCTTGAAGTTTTGGGAGGCTCTGTGGAGGAGATGGAAGCTGCACGACAGAGGCTTGTAATCGAAATAAATAAGCCACCACGGGGTAAAAGGTATCTACGGAATCCCGTGATATAATTTCTCTATGGTTTGATAATTCTTGTTGCTATCGACTGAATTGTTCTAATGGTGATGAAGTGGAACAATTTTCCATTCGCTAGTTGAATCGATTTTATATCATTGTGAATTAAGATCCGAAAAGAAATAAGTAAATATTTGGTATAAAAGGGGATACACATTTACAACTGAATTCCCATGCTGGATGCCTCGAATTTAAAGCGTTGACTGTACTCGTGGATCACTAAAGCCTTTTTTGAGTTGAATTTTTTGGAGGTTCTCCTCGATGGAAATAATTTTAGACTCGATGAAAAAAATATAATAAAAGATATCCATGATTGGTATATAACCTTTAGTTATTCAATGTCAGAAATCGGACAGGAGTGATTCCTCCTCTTGCAACTAGAGCAACTCGTGCTGCGTGGCCATCGCAAACTGATGCTGAACCAGCCCATGCGGATAGAAATACGACAGCACCACAACATGCGACTGGGCGAGGTGTGTCAAGTTTTATATTCGTGCAGACTCGTATATATTTCTCTTGATATTTTATTTTGTTCTTCTAATTTGTTTCATTCGAACTCCACAGGAGCTGCAGTTAGTATCCCGGCCAATGATACGCATGGACAAGTCCATGCAACTCCATTGAACAGAAATAATGCCGAGCCCAACTCTTCAGCTGCAGCTCGACCACAAGAACATGAAGTTCCGAGGCGTACTAATATCCCTGCAAGTACACCTTTATCGGTTGCCCGAGGTTTGTCTATTCACAAGACTCATAGAACTTATCCTCTCGTGTTAGTTACTCATGAGTTACAAGGCTATGTTTATCGTTAAGCTTTTCAAATGTTCCAAATCATTTTCACTCTTCCCGTTTCCAAAATATGTGTTTTGTAAGCTTTTCGACACTTTCAGCAGAATTAAATTTTTTGAAATCTTTCAAACTCGTGTGGAGAAATGATTTGATTGCCACAGTCAAAATTGCTAAAACACAATTAATGAGTGCTACAGGAAAATCTGTTTCATCCTAAACTCAAAATTCAAACAAATATTACTTAATCTTCAAATCATTTCCCAAAAAATAAAAAAAAATAATGGAAACGAGCCTTTGTTTTCCGAAAACATAGTCTTAAGATTTCCTAATACACCTGCCTTCATGTTTTACAGGAACTGCATTTTCCACCCCTGCTAATGACATGCGTAGAGAAGAATTCAGAGTTCCTGTGAGTAGGAGAAATGCCGAGCCTAGTACATTCTCTACATTGCATCCACCAGATCGTGTAACTATTCCACAAAATCTTGATGAAGACATGGCAGAAGTAACGACACCTTCAACGGCAACTAGGCAAGGTAATATTTGATGTAAAATGGACGTTTAAATAATTTTGTCTCTCAAATCTTTCATTCGAGGTTTTTACTTTGCTTGCGGTTGTCTACGCAGCGACCCCATCAAACATGACCGCAAATCACATGCCTGAGGAAGATGTCAGAATTCCAGTCAGTAGAGAAAATACCGAGCCTACCACATCATTTACCGGACACATTGATTTTGAGGAAGTACAAACGGGGAACGAGATGGATCACCATTTTATGCTCCCCACTGATAGAGAAGCTCCTTTTACTTACTTGGCTAGCCTATCAGCAAAGTGTGCGGGAATTGACGATGAAGCTTCTGTTGTTCGTGGAAAAATTAAGGTAACCAATGAATTTAACTATTGTTTTTAAGCTTGCGCCTATTAGTTCATTTATTATCTAATGCTAGTTCGGTTGCGTTTCCGTTAACTTTTGAAGCCAAGCTTGCAGCTGCATTTATAACATCTGATATTTATTATGTCACTGTTGCATTTTGGCAGTGCTTTCTGACAGGCGTTAAGGGATTTCAGTACAAGCAAAAGCCTACGTACGAGCTTCGAGTTTATATCGATGATGGTAGCCTCATCTCTGAGATCCTCATTGACCACAAAGTGAGTAATTTGTTTTATAAACATTAAATAACTTTCGGTACACGCTTGCTTATCTATGGGCCAACAAGTTGTTTTTCTCCTTCAGGTTGTACAGAATGCAATAGGTTATTCTCCTCAAGAGGTTATTGCTGCACTTGCATCTTCAGAACCCAAACGGGTCACCGAGATGAAGGAGACGATGAAACAGTTCCAGATATTTTTGGTTAATTTCGAGGTACGATTCTCCGCATCTTCTCACTTCTAACGTTCTCGGTTTTTTTTTTGGATTTTAATTTGAATTTGTCGAGTGTAGCTCACCTAGTTATTCTTTGTTCGGAAATTTATCGATTGTAGGGGACAATGGTTGTAGAAATGCATAAAGCTTCTCCAGTTCCAGTTGCTGTCGAAATGGAACAAGGCTGTTTTACATCCGATGCTTGGTCGCTACTCAACAGACTTAAATCCTCTGCTTTCGCTCAGCCAACGAACGTATCTCGTTATTCGAATCATATTAATTTATCACCTTAATCCAATACTCATATTTACTTTCTAGAAGAAAACAAAATCATCAGCTGCAACAAACTATGTAAAAAGTTCATTTACGCTGCGCTGGTTGTCTTTTATTCATAGTACAATAATTTCATTACATCACCTCGGTAAAAATCCCATTTACTTTTTAATCTTGGGGGATCGTACAGAATCGGGCCAAAGCAGGTCCTTAAGTCCAGGCAAATCTACAACTTTCTTGCTAATAGCTTCTGTTTGTGGTATTCCTGGTTCAGTGATCGAGAACCAGCGGTTGAACCAGTCCACCCCTTCAGGGAAAAACATCTTGATGAACAAGGTTGTCTTAAACCAAGGTGGCACCGTCAAGTACTTGTCTCCTCTGCACGCGGCGTTGACCGTCGACTTTGCCAGTCGTGCAACCCTCTCTATCGGAACAGCACTCATCACAACCTGACAGTAGATCTATATAATGTAAGCCACTTTTTCGTCGCATTTTCTTTTTAATAGGGTTTTACATAAAACACACGATTAACTGTAATAACTAACTAGGGTTTAGCAAAGTTAAGGATCTTACGTCTCGCATGTCTTGGTCAACTACCATTTTGCCTTCCTTGTTGAGGAATTTGCCTTTTGTCATCTCCGATTCGATCAACCCTGGAGTGACTAATGTGATTCCTATACCCGATCCAAATTCGACACGTAGAGTTTCAAAGAAACTTACTACTGCAGCTTTACTTGCCTGCACGAATCAATATTGTAATAAGATTGTACACAAAATGTTAGGACATTTAGGTTAAAAGATTTACGCGAGGAATAATAAATAAAAAAATGACGAGATGCTGCACATTATAGAAGCTTAGCCTTGGTGCATTCAACCAACTAGCCGAAGAAGCAATCACAACAATCTTGCCTTTCGTCATCCGTAAGTAGGGTGCGGCGAAATAAGTCGTATAAGCCAGACCCCAGAAGTTTATATCCTATTCAATACAAATCAACATACTTTGAATATAAATATACATTATTAAAAATATTTATCAAAAATTGAACTTAATATTTATACATCTTGGTTATATATATATAGTATTTACCATCGCTGGTGCGAAATTGGTGACTTTGAATGTTTCTTCGAACAGGCTAACTGGAGTCACACCAGCACTCATCACCAGATGATCCACTGCGAAAAATTGGGGGTAAAAATTTAATAAATGTGTGATTAAATAATAGGGATTAATTAATAGGGAAAAAAAGTTACATTTTCCGAATTGGTTTATGGCTTCTTGAATCAATCTCCTGCAATCTTCGGGTTTGGAGATGTCGGTTCGTATAGGGATAGCGCGAGGAGATCCAAGCAAATGGGCCGTCTCCGCAACTTGTTGTAAAGCTTTCTCTCTTCTTGCCCCAATGACCAAGAATGCACCTCTCTTCCCATACTCATAAGCTATGTGCTTTATATATACACAACCGATATTATCGCCATTAAAGATTCAGGCGTGCATAAAAAACTCGAGTAAAATAAAGTCGAAAAAGGAAAATTAGTTTGCATTTTCAATTAACTTGCGTGTAATTTTTCATTTTCTTGTTTTGTAAGCTGTAGCACACTAGCATACACTGGGTACATATTAAAAATATTGGAAATGTAGAGTTACATTTATTTTATAAATTATAATTATATATATACATCTGTGTTACTATTTAATGATTACTTATATTTTGATATATTTTCATATAGTTATATTAAAATGAAATATTACTATCATCTATCATTTCCAATTGACTATCAAATCATGGTAAATAATAAGAATGCAACAACAAATGCCAAATACTGATTTTTTTGTTGTCCAATTATTTCAAAAAATTGAAAAGTGATCGAATAAATGTACGACACCGAGAATGCATTGCGTAAGCAAATACGTTAAGAAATTGAAGTGTCTGTGCAACATGAACATTTATATCTAATTATAAAAATGTAGAGGATTATGTGATGAAGCGATGGTTGATAATTAGGCAAAAATGAAATTAGTAACAAACCTCTCCCATTCCCGAGGAAGCTCCGGCGATGACAACGACTTTTCCGGCGACATTCTCGATGAAAACGGAGCGCCACAAGTACCGAAGAGATTTGAAAAGGAGGTACCCCGGGAAGAAGAAGGTGAATGCGCCGACGGTGAAAATGGGTGCAAATATGTTGAGGAATCCGTTAACCAAATCCATCGGAAAAGCTAGCTAGCTATATATTGTACCGCCGGCGAGAAGAGGGAGTGTGATTAAATAAATAAATAAATTGATCGGAATAGAGCAACAATATTTGCATGGAGTGAAAGTGACACGTATATATGTGCTTCTTCGACTACTATATATTGTGGAGGCACCTCCTTAAAAGGGTGGTTGTGTTGCGTACAAAGACAAAATTGCTATTTAATTTTGGGCAATTTCATTTTGATTTTGATACTTCTTCGTCTGCTCAAGTGGAACACCCAAATTTGTGGAGGGGTTTATTTATTAACATAACTCATTTTAGAGTTGAAATTTGGGTAAATAACACTTAAACCCCTATGGTTACAAGCTTTTGCACATGATCCTTGTGTGCTCGATTGTAATATCAGTACATAAACTTAACCGCATGTGTCAAACTTCAGAGTATTATTTTTGCAGATGACCGACCCCCTTGTGCTTATATTTTTTGTAGATGACCCCCTTGAAGTTTGACATAAGCAGTTAAGTTTCTCTTAAAAACTAACGGAAGCTACCGCCTAAACCACAAGGGTGTTATGTGCCATTTTGACACTTTGCACACTTAAAACAAATTAATAGCACTTTGCAACTAGAAACACAATACATCATGCATAATACATCCCCAATAAATTTTTAAAGTTAATACAAACAATTTAATATTTTTAGTGGTATTTTTTTAGGATGCCAAATGTGAAATCAATTTTTTTATTCATCAATTATTTTGAAACTACAAAGTGCAAAGATAAAAATACATTTTACCAACGTATTTAAAAAAAAAAATTATCACAACAAATATTTTACTTTAAAAAAGTCCCTCAACTATTTTCTTTATCAAGTTACCTGAAAAACATACTTTCTTCCAAATATTTCTACATAATATTTCCACCAATTACAATAAAAGATCCATCAATCGAATAATTTAGTAATATAAATTTATTTTATTTTCTAAGAAAATATAGTTTCTTTCAATAATTTGGTGTGATTTTTAGTTTTTCGCACTGTGTGCGCTCGAAATTAGGTTGGAGGTTGAAAAAAGTAACATTAATTTGTTATTTTGAAACCAAAAAAAAAAAAAAGAAAACCCAATAAAAATGAAATTATCTTTATTATTCAATTCATGGTGCATTGTGAATGATTTTATTGTGTTTTGAGGGTGCAAAATGCTATTATTATTTTTTAAAGGTGCAAAGTGCCAAAAAGCTCTATTTCGAGGGTGCAAAGTGGAATTAAGCCGAAACAACATCATAAGTTATGTTATGTTAGAGATGATATTCAAATAACAAAAATTTCATCCACAAAAAACCTTACGAATGAATTGTTCTTTTCATAAATGTACAGTGTATTAAGGATTTATTAATTTCATGAGGTCGTCTAATTGAATTCTCGTAAATGTATTATCTTATCAATTTATTGAATTATTAATTTACTAAGCTATCACCAATTTGGAATCGATCAAATATAAATAATTATTTAAGTAAAATTATTAATTAATCGAAGATTCTACTGTATATAATTTACGTCGTGAAATTTGATTAGTAAAGTGTGGAACTCCGCTTCAAAGCCTCAAAAGTATGTACAAAAGGTGCTTGTAGGTATGAGAAGTAGTGTGCATGCAACACATGAGAGGTACATGAGGAAACTCTGCAATGTTTGTATATTGTCTTGTAAGGAAACGTGAGTTGTCGTTCTCGCTTATATAACTGCCCGATTTCGTTCTCATGAAAATCGGACCGAAATTGGTACTTTGAGAGAGAGAGAAAGAACAAAAAACCATTTTTTAAGGAGTGAAAAAGTAACTCCAATATCTTTAAAATTACGCCAAAAAACTATTGTTAATATTGTTGAATGACCACCTGAACCAAAAACTTGAGTTATTAGTGAAATGTATCATTTAATATTATGGTAAATTACTGCCATCTCTTGAGGTAAGATCAAATTACGAAAAAAAATTGTCATGTTGGATAATTACAACCACCCCCTGAACTATAAATCTTCTTACACGACCATCCTTGCAGTGTCAAATTTAGTGGAGTCTTCTAGATTATGTTGAATGTTTCCAGTTTGTATCCGTTTTACCCCATTCGAGCTATATATTTTAAAACAAAATGTTCATAAGATGTGCCTATTGGCTTGTAATATCAGACTGTGGTGCATAAGATGTGCCTATTGGCTTGTAATTAAGCTGCATTTTTACACAAAATGAGTACAAACTGGAGGACATTTCACGGAATCTTGAAGATTATGTTGAATTTGACACCATTAGGGTGAACGTGTAAGAAGACTTATAGTTGAGGGGATGGTTGTGATTATTCAAACAAAAATGAGTTTTTTCGTAATTTGTCTTTACCTCAGGGGTTGGCCGTAATTTACCTTCTAATATTAATATCTTCAATAAGTTTGAAACTTTGCACTTAAATATTCAAATAGGTATCTCTGGGATTCGAACGCATGACGTTTCATTTTGCCTGACTTTGAATGAAACATGGCAATTTGCCCCTACTTAATGGGATGTATTGAAGATATTAATATCAAGGGCAAATTACGGCCACCCCATGAGTTATGGTCAAAATACGAAAACCTCTCTCCTATTTGAGTAATTACAATCACCCCTCAATTATGTATTGTTTTACAAAAAGACCCCTCAAGAGGTAAATTTAATAATGTTAATTATGTAAAATCAAACTGAAATTTTGGTACGCTAACAGTTTACCAAACTAAATATGTAATTTGATTCGGTAAATAACCGAATTACATAAATTTTAGGTAAAAATATTTACAAGAAGGGAGTGTTAATTACCCAAACAAGAGAGATTTTTCATAATTTGATCATAAGATAACCGTAATTTGCCCTAACATTAAATCATACATTTCACCAATAACTTTAAATTAGTAGTGAAATATATTATTTAATATTAATAGATAATACAAAGAATTTCTTTAGAGTTCTTTTTAGCAATTTCAGATAACAGTGGTTGTTTTTTCTTCATATTTACAAGGACTTGAAGTTAAAATAACACACATTAAATAATCAATCTCATTACAGAAGTCACAACACTAACTTTATTCAAAGACATGTACCAACACAAACTACACAAACATCCACTACATAAATTAAACATACACAAATCTCACAAACATATATCAAACATCAACAACATTTTACTCCATCTTGGTCTCCGGCGTGTGTACCGACTCCGGGTAGAGCAAATGCTTAGCTCCGGTGTAGTCCAAAACCTTCTTCCCAAATGCAGCCTCCGATTCCTCACCGGGCCCCGTTATATACATCAATCTATACATCCACTCCATAGCCTCCGGCATAAAGAGCTTCCAAAGGTGAGTAACTCTAACCCACGCTGGCTCCGTTAGGTATCTTTCTCCTCGAATCGCACTCCTCACTATCGACTTTGCGCAGCTCTCCACCCTTTGGACCGGGAACATATTCACTTGTACCTAAAATAAATACTCACTAATATTAAGGCTCCGTTTGGATCAAGAAATATCAAGAAATAGGGAAAATACCAAAGTACAATAATTTACACATTTGACACTACCACAAAAAGTAAGTTCAAATTTTGAGTTTATTGTATTTAATTAGTACCACTGTGTTATATCGAATTGCTACAAAACTCATCCTTAATAAATGCAAGCACAAATCTACTCAAATAATGAGTTTTTAGGGGGAAGTTGTTAATAAATTAAATATTGGGGTATTTTTTGTATTTTTGTTTTCTTAGATACTTACATCTCGCATTTCTTGATCAACTACAAGTTTGCCTTCCTTGTTTAAGAATTTGCCTTGTGTGAGTTCGGATTCTATGAATCCCGGGGTAACGAGGGTTATTCCTATGTCGGGCCCGAATTCCACCCTCAGTGTCTCGAAAAATTGCGCAATCGCCGCCTTGCTAGCCTGAAATACCAATAATAAATAAGAAGTTGTAATACTAAATTGTAATAGTGATACTAGTGATACTAGTGATACTAATATTAATAATAATAATAATTAAAAAAAAAACTAAAATGTGAAATTTTTGTATGAATATAAAGAAATGTATCTAATTTTAATAAAATACTGACATTGTAAAAGCTCATTCTTGGTGAAGGCAACCAAGAGGCAGACGAAGAGATCACGACGATTCGGCCTCGGCTGTTCCGAAGGTAAGGGGCTGCGAATCGGGTCATATATACAAATCCCCAGAAATTAACATCCTGCAAGATTAAATTTATTAAAATCAAGTCTTATGTATTAATATATTAACCCTTTATTTAATTTAACCCACATTTTAATTAACTAACAAATAATTAGAATAAGTCAGAAGGTGTAAAAACGATATAATACCATAATTGCTCTGAAATCAGTGACGTCATCAACTTCTTCCAGCATGGCAACCGATGTAATTCCAGCATTATTCACCAGATGATCCACTACAAAAAATAAAATAAAAATAATAATAATAAAAAAAATAATAATAAAAAAAGAAAATATTTATTGAAAAAAATCATACATCTTCCAAAATGATTCATGGTGTGATCGATGATTTTGCGGCAGTCCTCCACCTTGGAAACATCGGCGCGTACAACCACAACATCCGGCGAGCCACAATCACGCGCCGTCTCAGCCACTTCTTGAAGGCTCCTCTCTCTCCTCGCAGCAAGTACTAAGCACGCGCCTCGCTTCGCATATTCATACGCAAGACTCTACCAAAAAAAAAAAACCAAATAAATATCATCATAAAATTAATAATGACAAGAATGTCCCACACCATGCATTTTGAGTGGGTGGACTTACTTCGCCGATGCCGGAGGAGGCGCCGGTGATGACGACAACTTTTCCGGCGACATCTTCGCTGAAAAGGGTACCCAAAACGGAGAGGAAGAACTTGAAAATCTGGAAAGGCGGCAACAAAAACATGAGAGAGAAGAAAGTGAACGGCGGAGCTGCTAAGTTCAGGAATGTGTGGATTAGATCCATCATAGCTATTATTAAACTGCAAATTATTAATTTTTTCTTTTTTCTTTTTTTTTGGTTGATGAGAAATTGAATTTGAGTAGAGTAGTGAGTGATGAGAACGAATATATATACAGAAATCGACCGTGTGTATATATATATACGTAGAGATATGCGGTGGGAGGGAGAGAGTATTGGTGGCAGTGGTGCATGCAAAGAAGATGACACGTGTCATCGGATACATACATACAAGCGGTGGGTGAAGTTTGGCTTTTGAGATCCTACACCGGGTGAAATACACCGGGTAGATCTTTACCATTAATATACACACAAACACACACACACCCACATTGGTGTGTGTAGATCAACGGTGAAAAATCACCCGGTGTAACTTTCACCGGGTGTAGGATAGATAAAACCGTGAAGTTTTAGCAATTTATCTCCAAAACTCAATCTAGTTCGTGAATTCGGGGTGCTTTGTTGACACGAGGGTGACAACTAGTGTTTTTGTTTATTATATTCTCAGTACTCTATCATTAAATAATCATATTTATAAGGGTATATTAGACTTTTAATAACTTTGTCTAACTTGGGGAAAACCGATTCCAATTCTAAAATTTTCGATTTTAGAATGATTTTTTTTCATTTGATACCTAATTACTATTTGCAATGGAATTGAAATTAGTTTTACACTTCTCGCAAAAAAAAAAAGAAAAAAACAGAATTTTTAGAACATGATCCAATTTTCGCAATTTTCATTCCCAAAGAAACCCATGTCACCGTTCATTCTAAATTTTTCACCATTTTCTTACAAAATCTATCTGAAAGTATTAGCATATTAGATTTTAGATATTTTATTTTATTTTTAAGTTTTACAGAAAACGTTTATGTAAAATGCAATTATCTCCCTTTTAAATTTTAAGTTAAAAACTCTTCTCAACAATCAGAATAAAAATATTTGTTCTTCTTCTTCCTCTCTCAGCCGTAATTGGCAGTTTCCAAATTTCGCGATTGTAAATCTTTAACAAAAAGAATTCTCCTTAAATTGTAATTGATCTTACTAATTCTAAAATTTCTAAATATTTGTGTTATTTGATGTTTGTGCTTAAAAAAAAACAGGGGTGCCCGGACTCCCCGTAAACTTTTGGTTCGTCAATTTTGTTAATGTATTACAGTTTCACTTTTACGAATACCATTCATTTTTTCGATCCTTTCCCCTGCTCTTCCTTGTCGCCATACTTTTTTCTCTCTCACACGCTAGGCGTTAAGAAAACTAGTAAATATGCATGAATTTTGAGAAAAAAATCATATTAAAATAACTAAAAACCCACTTCCATTAATTGCCTCTCCTAATTTTATTAAGCATATGAAGGTCAAGTTTAAGAAAAAAAAAAAAAAATACTTCATAGGGACAACTATTTTGAAATAAAATTTACACCTAGAAAGGCAGATAAATGGGAGGAGACAATTTTCTTTTTTATATTTTTAGGTTCTTCACTTATTTATTGATATATAATATTGCTAATTAAATTGTGTACACGTTAGTATGGTTTTTTTCAAAGCAGAGTTAAATACTAGGAATTTCAACCACAAATTGAGTTAAATAACCACTCATTAGTACACATACATCTAAATGTATGTAGGTATGATTTTGTATAAATCTGCTGTTATATGATTATATGTGTTTACCGTTAAAAATCACCCAACGTATATAACCAGGTATAACATCTAATTACCTCTTTTAAAAGGCCAACATCATAACAACTACTAAGTAACGAAATCAAAGTTCTGTTGTCAAACCAAATACATACCTCATACACAATCAGTTACTTTGTGCAACACAAAAAAAGAAAAAAAGAAAAAAAGGAAGGTAGAAGGGAGTGTCTTCCATCACTACAAAGATCCATACATCATGTTTTGGAAAAGAAAAAAGAGAGGCAAAGAAAAAAAAAGTTAAAAAGTAAAGTGCAGAGCAAATTCAGTCAAAGTGTCCCCTTTGATGCCATCTTCTCTAGTAAGCTTCTTGCTCTCCCTGTGTTTCATCAATGGAGAAAAATAAATACACGAAATCAACATTTACAGCAGAACCTCGTTAAACTAGTTAGTAACTTCACCTAAACAATAATTTCTCCCAATTTTGCCTCGACAAGAACATGCTAAGTTATTAACTCGATAATTTAATGTTCCGCTAAATTGATAGAATTTCCATATTCCCGACTGTATCAATTTATACCGTATCAATTTATAGAGCATCAATTTATAGAGGAACCTGTACTGTACTAATATTACCTTATTGTTAGTGACAGAATCGACAAATTTGTTCTTGCCCTTAGCGTTAGAAGACCTTTGTAAATGTGAAGGACCATATTTCTTGATGAGCTTCTCTCTAACGAACTTTTCGTAAATAAAAGCAGCACCTCTGAACTGCGGGAGAACCAACCACGCCACGAACGCTAGCTTCATATCGTACCATATGGGTATCCTGCAATTTTGTTATTAATCGCTAATTTAATCAAATGCTTTTATTTATTTATTCGTTTTAATTTTTTATTTGCCCAAAAAAAATTGAAAAAAGAAACGTTACGGACCATTCGAGGGCTGGTAGAAGAACCATCTCAGCAAGGGTAAGAAAGGAATACAAAATCCAATAAGCCAACCACTGCTCGTCGTCTAATTTCGATGTGCTCTCTATGGCCACTACCGATGCATACCTATAACATTAATCAAGTACTTGATCATTTATATTCGTTTTTTTTTTTTCTGCAAAAACTACCCCTATGCTACCCCTATGTAATCTCTAACTGCTAGAGAAACCCTGGGGTTAAAAAAACTAGCAAGAACCTCCTTTGAGAAATAGTCAAAGCCAAAAAACTCCATAACAACTTACTATGTAATGCACGCGCGGATTGTGAGTGTACAAGTGTGTTTAACTTGAAAAGTCAAAAATACCCTCTGAATTTCTTTTTTTCTTTCCTTGCTATTCCTTTTTTAATATCTTTTCTATAAGGGTAATTTGGTTATTTCACACGAGTTAACAATAAATTTTGGAAAACACAACATAGGAGGCTTCTAGCTAACTATTTTAAGAGAAGGGGTTTTTCGGCAATTAGAAATAATACAGGGGTTTTGCGGCTCACTGTTAGCTCATTTATATGTTACTTCCTCCTCATCTTCAAATTCAGTCATTTCAAATCAATTAACAATCTCAAAGATTAATTATTATAGTTTCCTCAGAAAAAAAAAATATTAATAACTTAAAATTAATTAACTAAGAATTCTATGAACTGCAACTTTGAAAAAATATATCATATAACTAAAACTAAACAAAAATGCTAAATCCCACACTAATTTTACCAAATGTGTGCACGCAACTGAAAATATTTCTCTCTCTAAAATATTCTCTTCTCTTTCCCCAACTTTTTTCACAAAATCACACACTAAAAACAATCCTAGCATTTCACTTTCGAATTTGAGAAAAAATCTTCACATGTTCAAACCGAAATAAAGTTGAAATTTGAGAAAAAAATTCGAATTGATATGAAATTGAATAATAAAAAAGGCATAATGAAATTGAATAAATACTAAATAAAACTGAACTCTTTTTTTTATGATTAGTCACGTGAAAAATTAACTAATTTTTAGTGACTCGGATAAAATCATCAGAGAGAGAATATGAGAGAATATGAGTAGAGAGAGTTTTTTTTATTTATTTATTTATGTGTGAAATTTAGTAAATTTTAGTGCGGAATTTAGCACGCCCCAGAACTAAAGCACCCTCCATTAATTCATTCTCTTTTTTTTCTTTTGGTTATGAGAACTATTATTTAAAATAATTAATGAATAATAAGAACAAAATTGAAAAATTACAAGTAAGAATCACAGCAATTGTAAAAACACACATAACAGAAAAAAGGAGATCTTCAAAGATAAAGTTAATTAAAAACCAATTAACTGTAAAACTAGTACTTACAGTGGATAGAGAAGCATGACTCCCGGCCTGCAACAATTAAAAAAAAAATAATTAAAATTATTATCCGGCCGTAAATTGATGCAGTAAATTAACAGAAAAGAAAAGGACAAAAAGGTAAATATAATGAACTTACCCAGCCATAGAATGGAGGAAGGTAAACAGAGTCCACAAGCGGTTCATTCTTGCAGATGAAAAATATCACAAAACAAGTGTTTGATTTGTTGCTGGTAAATTAAATTATATTTTGCTCTGAAATAACTCTTTCACTCACACTGTAATTTCTTGTAATAGCTTTCTTTATCTTGTTTGTATATATATAACAAATCAGGGGTGGAGAAGAGTGGACACGTGGCGGCAGGTCCGTGGTATCGGATTCTGATGCTTACACGTGGCAAACTTGGTTAATTAGCACCGACGGATCACTCCCTTCTTTAGTTTTATGTCGACTGTCAAGGTAGTATTGAATTAAAGGGTAAATTACAACCAACTACTCCTGAGGTATAGTATAACTACGAAAAACCCTTTATGTTTGGATAATTACGACTATCTTCTTCAACTATAAATCTTCTTACACGTCCACTCATGCGGTGTCAAATTTACTGGAATCTTCTATATTATATGAAATATTCTCAATTTTGTACCTGTTTTATCACATTCGAGCTCCACATTTTGGAACGAGATGATCCTAAGATGTATGTTTTGACTTGTATATATATTAGATTGTGGTGCATCAGAAACTGTATTTTTGCACAAAACGAGTACAAATAGAGAATATTCCACGGAATCTAAAAGATTGTGTTGAATTCGACACTATAAGGGTGGACGTGTAAGAAGATTAATAGTTGATGGAGGTAGTCGTAATTATCTAGATATGAAGGGTTTTTCTGTTATTTGATAATACTGTAGGGGTGATTGTAATTTACTCTGAATTAAATATATATATATTTAAGTTTTCTTTGTTTTATAGTTCTCTCCTTTTCTTTTTATTTTTTCTTTTTCTATTTGTTGGTCTAGGGAAACATTATTGTGTATGGTGCTTTTGTGCTTTTCTCCAGACTCAAGCCACGTGTTGCAGTTTTTCATGAAACGAGAAAGTCGGTGACACGTGGAACCAAGTGGAGAGTCCAAGTAAATATATTATTATAATATTGCTTTGCAAATTCTAATTTATTATAAGCAGTTGGGAGAGATTTATGAATGGCAGCCGCTATAACAAATACCCATTACTCACTTCAATACCATCAACATAAAAAATAGATAATTAATTAGTTATAACATTAATGCTCTTAATAAAATTAATATTATACAAATTTTGTTCGGAATAATGATTTTCATTGAGAGTAATAATATCATTACTAATTTATTATCTATATATTTTATAGTTTTATATTGATGGTATTGAATTGAGAAAAAATAGTATTTATTTTTAGCAGCTTCATGTATGAGTGGGACGTGATAAATGTTGTCCCTAGTTTTAACATGTACCGTTTTTATTTTAAATGTGATTTTTAGCATTTTTTTAGTTCAAAGCTGACAAAAGTCAATGCACGAAACTTGTAGTTTTCTGAGTTAACTTCTAGTACAACTTGAATCGTTAAGATTGAATGTCGCGTGAAAAAAGATATACATTAATTTATGAATACTGCCCACAATTTTGATGTTTTAAATTATTTAAAATTCGAAATGTAACTCATTCACATAACTTTGTCATCCAACAGCCGATATAGCTCAAATTGTATTAGAAAGAATTTTCAAATGACTAAATTTTTCGTATGTTGTATTTTGCTTAAAGTAGACTACAAAATAGTCAAATTGTATTTACAGTAAAAACGATACTACTAAAATTAAAACGGCATTTAACATTTCAGTTTATTAATTCATAGCATTATATATTCCCCTTATTTGAATAGTGTTACTTCACTAATAATTGTAGTTTCTTGCATTTAGTGATTTCAAATTATTTTCATTTGGAATAATTTATAAATAAATAAATTAAAAAAAATAAAAAAATCGATAATGAGTTTTCTAGTGTGGTATGTTCTCCCCTAGCCCCAAGAAAAAAATGAGGTCTATATATCATAGCATTTAAATACTTTTAATCAGTTTATAATAAAAGTTCAGATGAATAATGTATATGCCTATATCTAAATTGATTTGGTAC